TTTCCCTCTGAGCCTGGACCTCAAGGATTCAACTAGGCTAGGCTAGCTACTGAGTGAACTCCAGGCACCTGCCTGTTTCTGCCTCCCCAGTACTGGGATTCCAGGTGTGTTCCACTATATCTGGCTTTTCACTTGGGTTCTGGGGATCCAAATGCAGGTCCTCATGCTGCAAGCACTTTACAGACTGGGCAATCTTCCCAGCCCTAAAGTCCCCTTATTTTTTTAACAATCTATGACAAAGGATTCCAATGATTCTGCACACTAGTGGCCAAATTTTAACACTTTTTAAAGGTCACCAAACAAGGAAACAGGGAGACAGGCAAAAATGAACTGGTCTAGGAGGGATCTGGAGAGAGAGAGAGAGAGAGAGAGAGAGAGAGAGAGAGAGACAGAGACAGAGACAGAGACAGAGACAGACAGACATGTGAATCCTACCAGTCAAGCCAGCCTAGCACTTGACATTCCTGGACTGCACAAACAATGCAAGATGATCAGGTCCAGTGATGATAGGAGAGGCGGGAAGACCCGCAGGAAATGAGTAGCTCACCATGACGATGTTGGCTAGATGGGCAGAGACCAGAGCATACACTCCTCCAGAAGAGCCCACAACAGGTGCAGTCATGTCAGCCACAGACACAGCCAAGGAGCCTGGCACAGAAAGAGAAAGAACCATCAAGACTCTGGACTCACTATCCAGCCCAGCCCCAGCCCTTGGATTCTGCCACTGGATGGAATGACTCCACAGCCAGAGGCTCTATTTCTTCCCCTTTTGATGCCTCATTGCCTTGGAGCCGCCTCTGGGCTTTCCAGATCTGTGTATAGCAGAAAGAACCCCTTGATTTAACTTTCTTGTTTTACTGATGGAAAACCAAGATTCAAAGAAGGAAAGTCTGACTGGCCCCAGGTGGGACCAGTATTCCAAACCAGGTCATCTGCCTCACCAGCAAAAACAGCAGCAGCACTTTGCCAGAAAGGGCTGCCACCAGTAGCAGAGGGTAACCAACACTGGGCAGGCATTCCACACATCTCTCTCTTCCATCCTCAAGGCTCTTTTCCACCCTTAAGGCAGGTGCCAATAGCCCTACTGCAAACATGAGGAGAGGCTCTCATTACACAGTTTCCTGTGGAAAGTGCTAGAACCAGTATTTTAGTTCTGTTCTTCCTGAAACGAAACCCTTCCTCCTTTATTTTTATCCCCTTCCCCAGGGATTGAACCTAGGGTCTTGTATAAGCTAGGGAAGCACGCTATCATAGAGCTGCATCCCTAGCCTGAAACTGGTATAGATAGAAGTCCATGCTCTTAGCCTCGAAGGCAGCCATTTTCCACAATGCTTCAAAGGTGGCCTCTACTTCCTCCTACTACTCTGCTTGCTCAGCTGAGCATGCTCAGCATTACCTCCCACTTCCTTCTAGCCAAACTAAACCACAAAGGCTCACAGATCTCCCAGGTGGGGCTTCTCAGGAGGGAGAATGTCCTTGAAAAGTCCCTAGGAAGAGTGATGATGTCACACTCTCTGGGGGGCTGGGAGGGAGCGCTACTGCTCTGCTCTTGGTCAGTGGGATGTCAAACTGGTCCTGGGAGGGAAGCTGGGCAGAGAGGAGATGGGAAATTTATTGTTCTGATCTCATTTAAGTGTGATCAATGCTTTGGTTTCCAGGGAAGGACACAGGAGACTAAAAATAACTAGGAGGTAGAGCCCAGGGCACAGAGGGTGAGTGGCAGCTGGCCTGGGTGAGCAAGCAGAAACCACCACTGGAAAATGCCTACAGGCTCAGGAGCCAATTAGCTACTGGAGAGAGGAAGGACAGGACGAGAGCCGGATTCTGCAGGTTCCGAAAAGGTGGGAGGCTCACTCCTTGGGCCTCGGAACCAGGACTTCTTACCACCTAGGTCTAGAAATGGAGAGGTTCCCACAGGAGGATCACTGGCCACCTGCCTCTTGGTACTCTCTTTCCAGGTCCCCACGACCAACTCTTTCTATCAAGGGTGGTATAATGTCTCAGGAAAAATCAAACAAACCCCAAGCTATCATAAACTCAAGACTTCCAAGTCCTTCTCCCTTCCCAGGGCAACTATAAATCTATCCCCTTCAAATCTTTGCTCCGGCTTTAGTTTGGTGTTGACCCACTGTCAGAAACTTGCCCTTCTCTTTTCCCTTTTCTTTTCTTTTTATTGGCCTACCCATGGAGTCAGCCATGAAAGTCCAAAAAGAAAATTCCCAGGATGGGAAACAAACAGGCAGCAGGATCTGTATGACAAAAAGCTTCCCACACTCTCCTGGCTGCTGTCTGTAAAGGCTGCATTGCAGGGCTGCAGAGGGCTAGCTGCCCAAGCCGCTCATTAATTACTGTTTGCAGCAAGGAAGCCCCAGCTTCTCTGGGCTGGCCTCTTTCCTCCTGCAGGTTCATGTAAAAACAAGAGCCAGAGTGCATCAGGGCAGCCTCCCAGGAGAGGAAGGTCCTACTGGGGACAGGCCTGCAGAGCACTGACCTTTCCCTTACCTGCCCTGTGCTTAGTCTTGATCCCAGGGCCAGGGGTCAGTCAGGGATCCTGGCAGGAGTTGTACGACCTTGGGCATTTATTTGCCTGTATGAAATGAACAAGTCTAAGGCTTTCCACATTCTGAGCAGCGAAACACCTTTCTCAAAGGAAACCTTTTTGGGAATCCTCTAACCTACTGAGTGGAGTACATGGAGCGCCTCTGACAGAGTGGGGAGTGGCCTGGGGAGCAAAGCTGTCTGTCCAGGGAAGGGAACCCTAGTATTCCTCCCAGATCAAGAACTTGATGACTGGAGGTTTGACTGAAGATCTAGGAGCTGAGGCTCAGATCTTAAGAGAAATTTATTATTTTTATTTTATGTGTATGAGTATGTATTGCCTGCAAGTGTGTAAGTGCACTTATATCATGCAGTGCCCAGGGGATCCCCTGGAACTGGAGTTACAGACGGTTTTTAGCTGCCATGTGGGTGCTGGGAATGGAACTCGGGTCCTCTGCAAGAGTAGCCAGTGCCATTACCTGCTGAACTATCTCTCCAATCCTGTTTTATACTTTTTTTTTTTTTTAATTTGGAGACAGGGTCTTGTTATATAGCTCAGGCTGGTCTGGAACTTTGTAGAACACCTTGGCCTTGAATTTGCTGAGATCCTCCTGTTTCTGCCTCCTGAGTGCTGGGATTACAGGTGTGCACCACTGCCTGGTTTTATAATCTTGAAGGCAGAAAGCTGAACTCACCTGCCCAGACTTTGCTAAGGTTCCTGCTGGGGCCTGGAGGGACTGGCCAGGACCAAACAACACAGAGTATATGCACAGAAATAGAGTAGTAGAGACTGGAGAGATAGCTTAGGGGTTAAGAGCACTGGCTACTCATGCAGAAGACCTGGGTTCAAATCCCAATACCCACGTGGTGGCTAACAACCATTCATAATTCCAGTTCCAGGGGATCCAACACCCTCTTCTGTCCTCTGAGGGTATTGCATGACATGGGTGCACTTAAACACACATGCAGGCCTAACACTCATACACATAAAATAAAAAATAGAGGAGTAGGGGCTGGAGAGATGGCTCAACAGTTAAGAACACTGGTTGTTCTTGAGAAGACCCAGGTTCGAATCCCAGCACCCACATGGCAGCTAACAACTGTCTGTAACTCCAGTCCCAGGGGATCTGACGGGCTCTGCTGTCCTCCATGGGCATTGCACAACACAGGTGCACTTACCTACATGCAGACAATACACTCATACACATAAAATAAAAATAAATAAAACATTTTTAAAAAATAGAGGAGTAAAGGACATCAGAGAAGGATGTGGGTCAGACAGGATTCCTTCATAATCTGCTATGAAACTGAAGGATGACAGGTCTACAAGGTCGGATGAATAACAGCAGGCTGGAGTGCCACACCTCACCCCTGCACAGTGCAGACCAAAGGGGCTGGCTCCCAAAACATACATGCAAATGAATTGCTGACCTTGTCATTAGAAGGCACAGCTGTGGTCGTTTTAGCCTGAGAAGCCTGAAGGCAGGCATTCTCCAACATCTCCCTTTGCCATCAGGAAAAACTCAAAAATTAGCAGAACATCTACCTTTAAGCAATGTAACTTTATTTATTCATGCATTCTCTCATCTACTCTACAAATATTTATTACCTAACAGGTGCTAGCTCTGAGGATGCACACGTGGCTTCTATAAACTCTGTAATAAAATGTTGCTGATACACTTAAGTGCTGTTTGTTTGTTTGTATGTTCTTTCTTCTTTCTTTCTTTCCTTCTTTTTTTTTTGAGACAGGGTCTCCCTGTAGCCCCAGCTGGCCTAAAACTTGCTATGTACACTAGACTGGCCTTGAACTTAGAGAGATTTGCCTGCCTCTGCCTCCCAAAGTTTGTTTGCATTTCAGACAGTGTCACATGTAGCTCAGGCTGGCCTCAAATCACTGTATAGCTGAGGATGACCTTGAACTCATAGTCTTCCCACCTCTGCCTCCTAAGTGTTGGGACTGCAGGTATGTGCCCATAGAGCTTGGTAAGATACAGGTTTTTTGTTTGTTTCTTGTAGCTGTTTTTTGAGACAAGGTCTCCATGCAGCAGCCCCAGCTGTCCTGGAACTCACTATGTAGACCAGGCTGGCCTTGAACTCACAGAGATCTGCCTGCCTCTGCCTCCCAAGTGCTGGGACTACAGGCGTGCGCCACCACGCCCGGCAGCTTCTGCTTTTTTTGTTTTGTCTTGTTGCTATTGTTTTGAGACAGAGTTGTACCATGTAGCCCAAGCTAGCCTTGAACTTCTGATCCACCTGTCTGTCTCCTGAGTGCTGGGATTACAGCCATGTGCTACCACACCTCAACGTTGGGTCCCGTATCTACACCAGGCAGAGAGGAGTAGCCACTGCCATATGGGGTGGTGCTAAGGATTAAATACACAGTACATGTTGGGCATCAATAACTACTAGCTCTCTGGTCAAGATCTAGCTGTCTGTAAGGGCTTTCTTCTGCGGATGCAGAGAGGTAAGAGGTAGCATGAGCATATCAATCCATTCAGTCCTGGAGGTCAGTGACACGACTGTGTCCTCTGGTTTCAATCAGTGGGTCAGGCACAGCAGGGCATGCCCTTGGCTCCATATTGCAGCCCCATATCCTCACATCTTAGTGATGAGCCCTGCTTCTGTCTGCATCTTCCCACTCCTCACTGACCTCACTGGGGAGGGATGCCTGCACTGTCTTCACACTGTCTTCTGGGTGAGGGCTGAGTCATTTTGAATCTTCTGTCTTCCAGGTTATTGGCACCCCCCGTCTAATTGACTACTAGCTGCAAGTGTTACGAGTGCTTTCCCTGTTCCTTGTCATTTAACATCTGGGACTCTGAGAATCTAGGTATGGAAAATGCAGCTATAAATCCCCAAGCATCAGGACTAGAGGGTGTGTGGGTGGCTGAGCAAGTCTGGAGCATGGAGGTGCTCATTAAACCTTTGTTAAGGATACAGGAGGTGCTGGATTCTAGAAAAGTCCCACAAGGGGGTGCTGTCCAAAGTGCAAGATGCCTCCCACACACAGAAGTGCCTGAAGCAGTGCTGGGAGTTTCCCAGGCTAAGGATTCACAAACTAGCAGGTCAGCCCCCTGGGGTAGGGTGGGACCCTTCCCTGTTCTGAAGCCACCTCTGTCAATGCCAAGGGTCCCTGTCTGCCTGTTTGCAAGGCTAAGACTGTCCCACTCTCCTGATGACAACTTTAATACCATTCAGAAAGGATTAAGATCTTACACACATACACACACAGAGCTCCCTTGGGCCCAACTGTCAAGCTGAAGAGCTGAGGCTGCAAGCCTTCACTAGGCAGCAATAAAATTGGAGGCATCATGGGGAAAGATCCCTATGCTCACAAGTTGGGCTGGGCTGAGGTAACCTTTCCTGTAGAAATCCACCCTGTTTCCCAGTTCACTTGCGCCATCTTCCTTTATAGGCACATAGACTTCTCCCAGGGTTGCCCACTATCTTCTAAGCCAGACTGTCATGTCCTCAGAGGGTCCATGGGCAGAGTAAAGAGTTCTTTATAGGTTCAGATGTGCCCTGGCCAGGAACTGCCTGTCTCCACTCATGCCATGGATGCCCTTGGTGTCTCTCTGCACCCGAATGCAGGCGTTTGTCATCCTATGTGCTGCCTTCCAACAACCCAGCAGGCAGAGTGCATTAGCTCTCTCTTCAAGCTTGATGGGACCAAGAGAGATTCAGGAATTTCTCCAAGCTCACACAGCTACAATGTGGAATTGTGGCAACTGGAACTCTGTCTGTCTGTTCCAAATCCTGTGCTCTGCCCCCTCATCATCCCATGCCTCCCTCTCTGGGTGGCTGTCCCTTCCAGCCTCCAGGAAGGTTAGAAGACTTGCCTGGAGGAAAACACTGGAGATAAGAAGCCATGTGTGCCCTGGAATTGAGCTTGCCACACCCATGGGGTATCCACTGACCTGCCCTTAGGAGGTTTACCACGGGGCCCACTTGCCTACCTGCCACAACACCAGCCACGTAGACAAGTCCGATGCGAGTAGCTCCATGCACCATCTCCAAGGGCACCCCCACCAGCAGTTGCAGCACCACATTGAGTCCCAGGTGTTCTATCCTGTGACAGACAACATTCATTCATTGACTTGACAAACGCTATGTGACAAGATGTTAAGGAGCCAGGAGGGCACAGGCCCTGCGTTTGCCTTTGAGCAGCTCATGGGGCTGGAGAGAGGAGACCATGTGACAGACCATCCTAGAAAAAGGATTTCTTCCAGCTGTGCTGGGAATGAACATATGGGGCCTGGGTGGTGACTGGTCGTCTGCTTCAGCAGCCAGGACACCTACTAGTGGTGATCAGAATCTAGCTGCTCCAGGGAATTAACATATAAGAAGCCAAGGCTTAGAGAGTGGCAGCAACGGGCTTAAAGTCATAGCCCAAGTGTCTGACGAGCCTCAGCCACTCCATTTACCAGCTCTGGGCTCACTCTGGTTTTCCGCTGTACCTGAGTGAGCTAGTGATACTGAGAACAAAGATGGTCTTAAAACTTCTCAAAGCACTGGAGACTTCATGTAACTTAGTAATTCAACATTTCCCCTTAAAGTCTCACAGGGGAAGGTTCTCCTTCCTGTGTGAGAACGGGCCTGTTCAAACCTTTCAAGGCTGGAAGAGGGAACCCCAGGCTGTCTTCCCCTTCGTATACAACTAGCTCTGGAAACCAGCTCTGTTGCTCAATGTGTGGGCTGTCTAGCCAAATCTGTGGGGTAGCAGGAAGGATCCTAGCATTATTATTATGCATTAATGTGGACTTGCGAGTTTACACAGTGCTTTAACATCCATTATTCCACTTAAACGGAGCCTATAGCACATGCACGGCTCTCTGTGGGTAGGTTAAGTTTTAGATTAACAAATATAAGGCATATAAATTTAAAAAAACATATACAAGGCATGAAAGTATGGGGAGAGAGGAAAGGGTTTAAACAGAGGGGGATGAAGAGAGGGCGAGGGGCTCTAGAGATGGCTCATCAATTAAGAGTGATTACTTCTGCAGATGACCCAGGTTCCATTCCCAGCACCCAAATCAGGTGGCTCACAACTACCTGTAACTCCAGTTCCAGGGAATCTGATGCCCTCTATGGCACCTGCATGTATGTTGTGCACATAAACTCATACAGGCACACACACACACACACACATACATATAAACTAAATAAACCTTAAAAAAAAAAAGAACATTCTAAACTGGACATGGTGGCACAGGCCTTTAATCCCAGCACTTGGGAGGCAGAAGCAGGTGGATCTCTGTGAGTTCAAGGTCAGCCTGGTCTACGTAGTGAGTTCCAGGCCAGCTGGGGCTACAGGGAGACCCTGTTTCAAAAAAGACCTAAAACAAAAAACAAAAACAAAACTCAATTCCAGAGTCTAAGGGCACAGCTCAGAGACAGAGCACTTTCCTAGCATTCTAGAGGCCTTGGGTTCAATCCTCAACACTACAAAAAATTAACTAATAAATATTCACATTTACATATGTGTATAACATGGGGCTGGAGAGATGGCTCGGCGGTTAAGAGCACTGACTGCTCTCGCAGAGGACCTGGGTGCAATTCCCAGCACCCACATGGCGGCTAGAACCATCCTTAACTCCAGTTCCAGGGGAATCCGAAGCCTTCTTCTGACCTCTGCGGCATTGCGTGACACAGGTGCACTCACATTCATGCAGGCAATACACTCATACACATAAATAAATAAAATATTTTTTAAAAAGTATGTGTATAACATGTGTCATCTATTTCAACCCAGGTGATATGGACCACTTACTTACTTCTCTGTAGGGACTCACAGCAATGGTAAGACATACTCACCCTGCATGCATGAAGATGTATGTCAGGTAGCGCCAAGCCTGAGCTCGAAGCTGGGGGTGGTAAACCAAAGAGTTTTTCAGGTACCGAGGATGGGTCACCTGAAGCACAAACTGATCCAACGACACCCCATTGTATAGGAAAAAGGCAACCTGGATGGAGCAAAGTAGAGGGGTCAGTTGCTAGTTCCAAGACTGCCCAGGGTAGCCCTCATGCTAACAAGCACTGGGGACTCAGGAAGCTGCCATCTACCCTCCCAGAGAATGAAAGGTACCTACAGCTGGCTCTCACTTAGTAGAAATATTCCTTACCCCATTTCTGTCTGATCCTCTTGGGTTACAGGGTCATATGATCTTATTGCCTATGTTTTCTTGGTGGGATTGGAGGATTTTAAATCTTAATTCTACTAAAAGTCAGTCTTTTTGTTGTTATTCTGTTTTGGTTGTTTTGAGACAGGGTCTCCCTGTAGCCCCAGATGAACTTATTACGTAGACCAGGCTGGCTTCACTTTTACAGAGATTCACCTGCCTCTGCTTCCATGCTCAGCTCATGCTCTCATTTTTATAATAGGCTGATTTCAAAATAAAGCAAAAAAATTGTGGTAGATTAGTCATAAAATTTAGCATTTAAAATGTTTTCACACTTATTTATTTTAGTGTGTACATGCCATGACATATGTGTGGAGGTCCAAAGACAACTTTCAGGAATTGGTTCTCTCCTTCCACCATGTGGATTCTGAGGGCTGAATGCAGGTCATCAGGCTTGGCAGCAAGTGCCTTTCTTTATCTGCTGAGCCATCTTGCTGGCCAAAATTGAGCATCTCAACCAGTTTTCAGCACAGTTTGATGACATTAAGTACATTCACACCATGCTGTGGCCACCACTGACCATCCTGAGAATTCCTTCATCTTATTAATGATGAACACCACTCATGGACACTCACTCCTCAGTGTCCCTCCATCCCCACTCGCCCTTCTCCTTCCTGCCTTCATACAAGGCCCACTCCAAAGCCCCAGTGGCTGGGATCACACAGGATCCCATTTTACTGCATTTGTTCTTAAGGTTGACCTGGTTATGCCATGTGTCAGTTTCAGTTTCTTTTTATGACACGAGGTCTTGCAAGGTAGCCCAGGTTAGCCTAGAATTCACTATGCAGCCCAGGCTAGCCTCTAAGCCATGATCCTCCTGCCTCAGTATCCCTAGTGCTTGGCTCACAGGCCTGAATCACCATTCCCAGCAGAATCTCCTTCCTTTTAAACGCTGAATAATATTCCATTGTATATATCCATCACACTTTGCTGATTCAGTCACCTGCTAGTGCACATGCAGATGGCTGCTATCTTGTGGCTGTAATAAACATGGTGGTATGAACACGTATAAGTTCCTCTTCTACTTCCTACTTTTTACTCTGAGATGGAACTGTTAGATGATAGTCTTAAGCTTCACTTTTTGGACACATACTAAACTGTTTCCTTTAGTGGCTGTACCATCTTCAGTTCCTACTAACAGCACACAAAGGTTCTAGTTTCCCCTCTTCTCCACCTATGCTCCATGTTATTTGATTTTCATATGACTAAAGCATATTCATTTAGGTTCCAAAACAGTTATTTATTTTGATGATGTATTCTGGAACTCTGTAAAAACGCATCACTCATGCCCCTGTGTTAACCATTTAAGGATGTTTCAGGTATCAGGTTGGACCACAACAGTGATGTCTCTTGAAATCCAGGAGGGTGGGTTTTTCCCACCACATAAAATGGCCCCCAATTCCTTAAGACTTGGGTCTATTTCAGCTGGCCATGATGGTGCACAGCTTTAATCTCAGTACTCGGAGGCAGAGGCAGGCAGAAATTGAGGTCAGCCTGGTCTACCTAGCGAGATCCAGGTCAGCTGAGGTTACAGGGAGACCGTTTCAAAAAGACCAAAAAAAAAAGATGGGTCTATTTCAACATTTTTTTGTGGGGGAGGGTCTTTTTGAGACAGGGTCTCACTATGGAGTCCTGGCTGGCCTGGAATTCTCTATGTAGACCAGGCTGGCCTTGATCTCACAGAGATTTGTCTGCTTTTGCCTCCTGAGTGCTGCAATAAAGGGACACACCACCATGTCTGACTTGACATTTTCTTTTGCTTTTTTTCCTATCGCTACTAGGCTGCTAGCTGCTAACTTCTTACTGCTTGCCAGCACTGGACCTCGTACAGTAGCTCCATGTTCCTTCTACTTTCTGTTTTCTACCTGTTAGGGAATCAGAGAACTGGGTCACTAGAACTCTATGTAAAACAAAAGCCTACATCTTTGAGATAGTTAAATCAGCTGCTGAGTATTTTCCAGTTCCTTCTAGACTCATGGTTTTGTAAATCTGAACCAATCTGGACACAAACACTGGCTCTTCTGGAGCTACATGGATAAATTATTTGAATTATCTGGTCCTCAGTTTCCATATCTAAAAATGGGCACCAATAACTACACTTCCAGTGTGGCCATGAGGCTTAAAAGTGACAAAGTAGCTGAGTATGGCAGTCCACATGTATAATCCCCATACTCCTGAAATAGAGCCAAAAGGATTATGAATTTGAGGGCAGCCTGGGCTACAGAGTGAGACTCTTTCTTAAAAGAACAACAAAATGGGCCACTAAGATGGTAAAGGTAAAGGCCTTGCCACCAAGCCTGACAACCTGAGTTCAATCCTGGAATCCACCTGGTAGAAGAAGAAAATAGATTCCACAAGTTGTCCTCTGATCTTCACATGCAAGCCCCAGCATGTGTGCCCCACTCCAAATAAACAAATGCAATTTAAAACACCTTTAAAAATATAGTATCAAAACAGTAACAGCAACAATAATAATGATAATAATGAAACAATACAAAGAGGCCCAGCACACTCTCAGGGAAGGAAGTCATAATTAGTGTCAGATTGGATTTTCAGGACTAAGCCTGATCATAGTTTAGGCTATTGAAGACTGTATGCCCTGTGTTCTCCAAGAAGCTGCTGGGGAGAGGCAAGAAATGGGCCAGCGGTAGTGTGTTTGTCTAGCAGGTGTGAAACCTAGGTTCAGTTCCCAGCACTACACATACAGACACAGAGACACACACATTCAGAGCTGCTTTGTCCACCTAAAGCTATGCAGGTGTCCTGGCATCAAAGATAGTCATTATCAAATAGAAGTTAATAAACAAGCCAGGCGTGGTGGCGCACACCTGGAGTCCCAGCACTTGGGAGGCAGAGGCAGGTGGATCTCTGTGAGTTTAAGACCAGCCTGGTCTACATAGTGAGTTCCAGGACAGCTGGGGCTACAGGGAGACCCTGTCTCAAAAAGACAAAAAAAGAAGTTAATAAACAGACCCACAGAGTAAGCACTTGAAGACACTCTAAGAATATATTTCTCAGAAACACTGCAACTTCACTATGTACTTGGAGGAAGTCATAACAACAAACAGAATATCTCTGGACTGCACATGAGAGAGGTTTTTTTTGTTTTTGCTTTTGGTTTTTTTTGTGCTTGCTTTTTGAGACAGGGATCTCATTCTGTAGCCCAGGCTGGGCTTGAACTCACTGATGATTCTCTTCCTTTAGCCTCCTGTGTCTTGGGATTACAGGCATGAGTTACCAGCCCAGCTAAACCAGGTATTTCTTTTTTTAAAAAATATTTTATTATTTTTTATTTTATGTGTATGCATGTATTGCCTGCATGTAGGTAAGTGCACCCATGTTGTGCAATGCCCGTGGAGGCCCAAAGAGGCTGTTGGATCCCCTGGAACTGGAGTTATGGACAGTTGTTAGCTGCCATATGGGTGCTGGGATTCGAACCTAGGTCTTCTGCAAGAACAGTCAGTGTTCTTAACTGCTGAGCCATCTTTCCAGCCCCTAAACCAGGTATTTCTGATTTAGCAAGAAAGGCCTCCATGAAGCTGAGCAGCCCTGCCAGACGATGAAGCAGAAGCATCGCTAGACCTTCTGCAATTGGGCTTTGGAGGAGAAATGGTGGAAGACTGGAAAATGCCAGAGGGAAGTCACGTCTCTATGGGAGCCAGGGGTGGAGTGAGCTACTGGGGTACTGGGATTAAACTGAGACCCAAGTTCTCACACAGGGGCAGGACACAGAGAGTAGTGCCTTGGGAGTCCCTCATCTGAGCTTTTTGCATAAGTACAACTGATTACCTAAAGAGAGAATGTTCTTTAAAAATTGTGAGCCCACATTTTCTTGTTCACAAACACTCCCTCCCAGAGGTAGGTGTGTGCTGCTTCTGGGCTCGGAAAGCACTCTAGCCACTCTCTCCCTCTAAACGCAGGTGACAGCACAGGAAAGGCCTGGTGACTCCTACATTCTAGATTGGAAATGACTAGTACTCCTGGCCCACTTGGGGAGGAACTAAAATAAACTGACTTTACTGTGTTTGTCTGGCTAAATTCCCAAATCCATGAGCTCATCACATTGTTTGTGTTGCTGTTTTGAAGGGTGTAGCAATATGGGGACTTTGCAGCAGCAAAAATTGCCTGAAGAGGCCGGGTGTGGTGGCACACACCTTTAATCCCAGCTCTTGGGAGGCAGAGGCAGGAGGATCTCTGTGAGTTCAAGGCCAGCCTGGTCTCCATAGTGAGTTCCAGGACAGCTGGGGCTACAGGGAGACCCTGTCTTAAAAAGACCAAAAAAGAAAAAAAAATTGCCTGAAAAAACGCTGCCTGGGAGTGGTGGCTCACTGCTGGCACTCAGGTTAGGCAACTGTCGTCGCCCAGACATAGTAAGGTTCAGCCAGCTTTGACTACAGAGTGAGACCTTGTCTCGAAAACTAAAAGGCAAAACATGGGGATAGAGTGATGGCTCAGCAATTAAGAAAGAACACTTGGTGCTCTTTCAGGAGACTGGAGTTCGGTTCTGTTATAGTTAGTGTCAGCTGTCAACTTGACACAACTCTAGAGTCACCTGGGAAGAGGAAGCCTCAATTGAAGGATTTTCCAAATCAGATAGGCTAGTGGTCATGTCTGTGAGGCATTTTCTTAGCTGCTAATAGATATAGGAGGGTCCAGCCCATTGTGGGCAGTGCTAGCCCCTGGGCAGGTGATCCTGGGTTGTATAAGCTAGCAAGAGCCAGGGGAAGCAAACCAGTGAGCAGTGTTCCTCTGTGGTCTCTGCTTTGAGCTCCTGCCTTGAGTTTCTGCCCTGATTTCCCTTGATGGACTGTAACCTGTAAGATGAAATAAGCCCCTTCTTCCTTTAACTTCATTTTGGTTAGTGTTTTATTACAGCAACAGAAACCAATCGAGGTCAGGTTCCCAGCACCCATGTAGGGCAACCACTTGAAACTCCAGCTCCAGGGGACCCAATGTCCTCTCTGGCCTCAGCAGGCACCCACACACATGTGCATGAACACATACAAATACACATACATATAAATAAAATAAATCTTTTTTTTCTGTCTTTTTGAGACAGGGTCTCCCAGTAGCCCCGGCTGGCCTGGAACTCACTATGTAGACCAGGCTGGCCTTGAACTCAGCCATATACCTGCCTCTGTCTCCCAAGTACTGGGATTAAAGGCATGTGCCACCACACCTGGCATAAATCTTTAAAAAACCCAAGGGGCTGGTGAGATGGTGCAGCAGTTAAGATCACTGGCTGCTCTTGCAGAGGAACTGGGTTCGAATCCCAGCACCCATATGGTTGCTAACCATTGTCCTAACTCCAGTTCCAGGGGAATTTGACTCTTCTGACTTCTACAGGCATTACATGACACGAGTGCACTTACATGCAGGCAATATACTCATGCATATAAAATAAAAAACTATAAAATATCAAAAACCCCCAAAATTTCAGACTGCCTTTGCAGCCCAGAGTTATTAACACTTGATTATAATAATAACACTTGTACTCACTAGCATGACACTGACTTGCAGGGCAACTGTTTTTTGCTCCTTAACCTTCACTCTTGTGGGAGAAGCCTGTCCTCCTCCCCTCACAACCTTAGACCCTCTCACCATACCATCCACCAGGTCTAGAAAGTCCCTGCCCACACTGGTCCTTGCCTCCAGGAGTGTAACTGTGATCATGAACCAGGGCGGGGGACAGCAGGTGTAGCTGTCGTAGTACCACTTGCGATCAATCTCTCGGGGCAGAGTCTCATAGGCCACATGGCGGATGAGCCGCTGGGAGAGGCTCAGCCCCTTCTCCTCCAGTAGGGCCTTGCTGCTCAGCCTGCGGTTACCCTGCAGGATGGCCTGGCGGAAGCTGTTGGAACGCTTGTTGCTCATCTGCACAGAAAATGGAGTGGGGAGAAGGTCAGAACTAGGGCCTCAGGGGAGCACGGTACACACATCTCAGCCAGCATGTTCTATAGAGAAGACCCAACCCCACTTTTCCGTTCTTCTATGAGAGCTTATGAAAAGAACTCCCTTCACGCACAATCTGGTAGGACTGTCACAAACCCTGTGAACCCCCAACAAGATCCTACTGTCAAATTGCCCTTCTCCCTGAAAAGTCCTTGAGGGTGCATACTCCCTAGGTATGCCCAGCACACAGGCCTCACACACATACCTGGCTGAGGTGGAATGGGCTCAGCAGGAGGAGCTCGGGAGAAGCAGAGTGTACACATTCACCATTCAGCTGGGTCCCAGATGGGTCCAGAGCCAGGCCCAGCAGAGCTGTAACTATTGTCTCAAGCACTACAGAGCTTACAGGTAGGCAAGTGGATACACCCCCAAAAGGGGGACATCACAGCCACCTGGTGTGTGGCATTATTCCCACATCATGAAGATACGGGCTGAAGCTTTGAGAGTGAGCAGGTCATTTTCCCAAGGGCTCAATGTAAATTGGTCAGGATTCAAATCCAGATCTGCCTGACTGAAGCCCACTCTGAGCTTTTCTGATACTTAAAGGAAACTTGGTGAGCAAAGTCAGACTACACTTCAGTCCCTCACAGCCAGGCATCCTCTCCTTATATAGCACATAATCTGCACCTGACAGCCCTGTCCACTTGGCTGTATTTAGTGTGGTCTGTGTTATGAGACCTGGGAAAAGTACTGTAGGGGCTCTGCATAGGTTAATTTGTTCTGCCTGGGCTAGTGTGGGAAAGGCCTCAGAAATCATGCAGGGAGGTTTCCTGGCACAAGTACATTAAGAGGCAACAGAAAGTTTCAAGTATAGTCTTTTATCATATCTGATCCTTTCAAAAACCCTGAATGAACCCTTGGGTTTTCCCTTTGGGAAGAGAGGCCCAGAGTGAGTGGCAAAGGCAGAATAAGGGCTAAGGCCCTGAGCCCTCTGCCCTGGTGGGACTCTTTGTCAATCAGGCCTCCAGGGCAGCCCTCTTTACCTAGAGACAGCTGTGACTGACTACTCCACTGGGACTCCGAATGGAGAAATGTGGCAATATCATGTTACTTCAGAGATCACACAGAGGCTCCACTGGTGCTGGTCAGGAGAGAAATAACCTCTGACACCCAGCACAACCTTGCTTGGGAGGCATCTAGTGCATGCAGACTGGTCTGGGCACAAGCTTGTGAGGGCTCAGGCCTGTGGCCTGCTTCTTGGTGGCACTGTTGGGCTCCAAGTCACAGGACTCACCTCTACTGCTATGCTGGATAGCTTTAGTGTCAACTTGACACACCTGGGTTGAGGGAGTCTCAATTGGGGGATTTCCTCTATTGGACTGGCCTGTGGCCATGTCTGAGAAGCATCTTCTTGGTGAGTGACGTGGGAGGGCCCAGCTCACTGTGGGTGGTGCCACCCTGGGCAGGTGGGCCTATGTAGCATAAGAAAGCAGGCTGAGTGGGGGCCAGGGAGCAAGCCAGTAAGCAGCATTCCTCCATGGCCTGTGCTCCAGCTCCTGCCTCCAGGTTCCTGCCCCAAGTTCCTACCTTGGACTCCTTGATGAACTGTGACCTGGGAGATGTAAGCTGAATAAACCCTTTCCTCCCCAAGTTGGTATTGGTCAGAGTATTTCATCACAGCAATGAAGAAACAAACTAGGACAATTGCCCAATTTGTGAACCTTCTTCTGAGCTCAGCTTGGGCCCAGGACTCCAGGAGGTCTGCTCCCTGGGTCTACTCTGCAGTGGAAGATTCCTTACCCCTAAATCCTTACAGCAACTCCTTGCAAACCCAAGAAGCTCCCCTGGGCTGTGGCAGCCTGCAGCCAAGAGACCATCACAGGAGCCACTGCCTGAGCACCTATGTGGGATGGGACCACCAGAGCCATGAGCACTGCAGGCTTCCCCTTTGAATTCTAGGAATGCAGGAAGCTTCACACAGTTCTTTTTCCCTCCATGAGTGATATGAAGAGAGGTGGACCACTTCCATCTCATCAATAGGGAAACAAGTAAAGATGTCCAGCCTTGTATTCCTCTTACTACTCTATGCAGCCCTGATGGGGAAAGTGCTGCCTGGCTAATGCTCCTGAAGCCTATTCTAATCCTGGACAGCAGCTGAGAGAACATAGCATCAACCCCAGGAAGGACGATGTCTCCACTAAAGATACCAGACAATGGGCAGGACTCACATCTGCTCTGCTCCTTGGCCCTTTGGATGACCCAGGACACTTGCCAGCAGCTCTGACAGCTCTGACCTCTACATGTTCTGTGCTGTTCCTAGGGAGGTCTGGCTTAATCTAGCTTTCTTCTATTGCCAGAACCTCTGTATTCGCAGCCCTTCATTTTGGTGAAAATGATCCCTCTCCCAGTTCCAGGGATGGTCACTGACTCAATCCAGGTACTGGGAAGAAATCTTAAGCCTTGTGTAGGACCTGCCACAAGAAGGAACCCTGTCTAAATGGGGGGCCTGAGGGTGTAAGGGCTCATGCAGTGCAACTACCTTGCTACCACAATGGGAAGGGCTGGAACTGCTAGGAGCTGCTTTCAGGGTGGCCTGACACTGTAGCAGGCAGAAGCCAGAGAAGAGAAACCAGGCCCTTAGTGGTATCTTCTCACATGCTGAGGTCGGGGCTTTTCAAAGGCTTTTTCTTCAGTCAAGAAACCCCTTTGCCTAAAACTATTTCCTGTGTCTAACTCCCACCTTCCCTGCTCCAAGCAGACCACTTCCAGAGTGCTCACCAGGTTGACAAAATCCTGGTAGCAGATCTGTCCATCCGCATGGCTGTCAGCAAGAGCCAGAAGCACCTCCTTTTTGTGCGGGTCCAGCTTAGAGCTGTGGCTCTCCAGGAGGCTTCGGAACTTGCCTGTGCTGATGTAGCCTGTGCTCCCAGGGTCAAACTGAAGGAGAAGCAGAGAGCAGTGGAGTCAATGGGACACAGTTCTCTAGCACCAATGTGAGGGCCCAGGTCTCTACCCTCACTCACGGGCTCCTGCCCAATCTCTGTCTCCAGGGGCCTACACAGTATCAGGAACATTTCCCAGGCTCCATTCAGAAGCATCCAACTCAACCATCTTGTGGGGAGAAAGCATGTCTCCTCTCCTCTTACTCTTTTGTTATTTTGTTTCTTTGAGACAGGGTCTCACTATATAGCTCAGGCTGCCCTGTGAGGCATGTATCACCACACACAGCTCTGATTTGTTCTTTTTGGAATGGTACTGAGAACTAAATTCATGTATGCTAGACAAGCACTCTACCACCACACTGTATCCCTAGACCTCTCCCCCACTTCCTGACTGTGGAGAGGAAAATAGGAATGCAGTTCAGTAAGTCAAGGGGACAAAGGACTTATCTGGCTTGGGATAGGGAAGGAGCAAGGGGCTAAGTCTAGAGATGACAGTGGGGATACGGAGCTCCCCTGTGTAGGAGGCATGCTGGGCCTGGCCAGGCCTTCTACACCTCCCCATGAATCCTCCCAGAGCCCTACTTACACCCACATATGCTGGCAGGTGCACCAAAGACATATTGTATTGTTTTTATTTGGGGGTGTGTCTGTGAGCAGGCACATGTGCATTTCACACCTATCTCTTTCTCCCCCTGTAGCTCCTCTGTACCCTGGACACTAGCCAGCCTTCCTGCCCATAACATCTTTAGCTACTTCTGCCTCCTCACTAGACTGCAACTCCTCGAAAGCTGGAACCATCTGACCTGGGTGCTCAGAACAGAGCCTGCCTTATGGGCACTCAATCAAGATTTGTTGGATGAATAGATGGGATGTTCAGATGAACAGACAGGTACTATTTTTCCACGAGAGCTTCTTAGGCTATTAGAAAACGCTTTAACCCTCTTTCCACTCTTTCTTCATGGAGGCAACCTACATGTACCCTGTACATGTACCCTGTCAGGCAATGATACCCGTCTCCTGTGGTATAAGAGCACTCCTGCTCCAAAAAGGCTCCCCAAACTCCAGGGTATCCCTACAAAGCTGTGGTGGGTTGCTGAGGTTTTAAAAGGCAATAGGGAGGCTGGGCATGGTGGCACATACTTTTAATCTCAGCACTTGGGAAGTAGAAGCAGGAGGATCTTTGTGAGTTTGAGGCCAGTCTGGTTTACATAGTAAGTTCCAGGCCAGCTGGGGCTACAGAGAGATCCTGTCTCAGACAAAAATAAATAAATAAATAAATAAATAAATAAATAAATAAATAAATGAAGGCAGTAGAGGTCAGGCATGATGGCACGTACCTTTAATCCCAGTACTATGAGTTGAAAGCCAACCTGGTCTACATAGCCAGTTCCAGGCTAGTCAGAGCAACATAGTAAGACTCTGTCTCAAAATAAAATAGTTTTCTTAAAAAGGCATCAGGGAAAGGGCAGGGTGCAAAGCGGCAGAGCACTTGCCTAGCCCATAGGAGACCCTGTGCCTGATCCCTAGCACTGAAAAAAAATTTGACTAAATGACAATGGATGTTGGGAATGATTAGGAAATGGAGGTAGATAGTCAAACCCATATTGCCCCCTTTACAAAGGCAGGGGAGAGCAGGCTGTATGTGCAGTGTGTCTAGACAATCTACAACTGACAGCCAGAAGTCGTGGCCCCACAGACTAATCTCTAAGGGGGCCTATGTTCAGATGCACATCATATCCTCACCCTACATCCCAAATGCCAGGTGTGACACACGACAGTTATTTGGTTTTCATGATCAAGTAGTTCAGGAAACTCAGAAAACTCTTCAAGAATAAAACACCAGGGCTGATGAAATGGCTCAACAGATACACTTGCTGGGCAAGTCTGATGATCTGAGTTCAATCCCTGAAACCGTCACAGTGGAAGGGAGAAAACAGGCTCTTGAAAGTGGTTCTCTAACGTATACATGTGCACTGTGAGAAACACACACACACACAAAATTAGTTTTGTTTTTTTGGTTTTTTTTTTAAAAAAAGAATAAGAACACCTAATATTTGCTGTGCTTTCATGGAGCCAAACACTGTTTTACTCACTTTATTTACAGACTTTCTTGGACCTCCCCCTCCAGAACAGATGAAGCAGAGATCACTATAACCTATCACATTATAACCTTTATCACAGATGAGGACACAGAGGGAGAAAAGCTAGCACAGACAAGGGAAATGGCCTGCCTGCAAGCTGCACACAGGACTCCACATCCAGGAAGCTCAGCCTGGCCTTGAAGCCACTGTTAGCTGCCACTGACCCTCAGTTCCAGGGGCAGCCTTGTTGTTCAGAAGCAAAACTAGAGGACCAAAGAGCAGAGCTCAGCCCCAGACTGGGAGAGGCAGGGGCTCTAGACATTCATGATCCCCTCCTAAAGAGGTTTTTGCAGCACGGGAGAGCCCCCAACAGAGCGGGTTCTAGCCTCCTATTGTTCAGACATGGAAACTGAGAGAAAGAAAAACAGTGGCAATAGCTGATAGGGGCCGCCTTCCTTGGTGTAGGGGTGGGGGGACCTCTTCCATCCCTAAGTACCATGTGGACCAACCCTGATTCCATCACAGGTGTCCACTATCCTGGACTTGCTTGGTCCTTGTGGACGTTAAGGCTAGGTTGTAGGTTCTGTGAAGATGCCTGTTGGGCCTTGCAGGGGTCTGGGGTCCTCTGTACATCACGGAACCTCCCCTGCCTCCACAGGGAAGGAAGCCCAGTGGTTTTATATGTGCTGGGAGCAGAAGCATGGCAGACAATCTCTTCCCAGGGGCCTCCACAGGGCTGCCTGCAGAGGAGGATGAGGAAGGGGGCTAGGATCAGGCACCAAACAAAGAGCCACCTGCTCTCCTCCTCCCCCTCCCCCTCCAGGGCTCCCTGCTGTTGTCCTAGTGACAAGGGCTGCCCTGTGACCCCTCCACGCCCCAATCCCACCCCAAGGTCGTTATGGGCTCTATCTACCCCAGAGAATGTGTTGGAATCAGGCTGAGCTTCAATTCTGTGCCAAAACTCTACCTTTCATGCCAGGGGCAGACAGGTCAGACAATAAGGAGTCACCACTACCCTAACAATGAGGTCTTGGGAGCTGAAGGATGACTGGGGGTTGGGGAGAGGCAGGGACAGGGTCAGCTGTTGAGATTTCAGGATCTCAGACAATGACAGGAAGGACAGTATTGGTAGCAGGCATGGGGCACCAGGTGGGGCAGTGGTCAGAGAGAAGAGAGACAGAGAGAGAGAGAGACAGAGAGAGAGAGAGAGAGAAAGAGAGAGAGAGAGAGAGTAAAAAAAAAAAAGGCAGAAAGATAGAAAGCCTCAGGTGGGCTGGAGGGAAGAGAGCATGCCCAGAGCAGGAAGATCCCAGGACTCAGAAGGAAGCTGAAACTTGTGACCAAGGAAAGCTGTGCCCTTAGAGCAAGATGACAGGGAACAGGGCAAAATCACATTCTTGTCTCTACCCAGCAGGATTGGTATAATTTAGGGTGAAGACCTCAGCCTCAACTGGTCCCTTTGTATAGTGGGTTGACTTCAACCTAGGGCAGCAGCTCACCAGGGGCCAGCCTCATTGCCTCATTCAAATGTGGTCTGTCTCCTTGGTCTGTTATGTTTTAGCCTCCCTCAGGCCTACTGGGAGATGAGGTCACACTAGGAGAATGGCTTCCTGCTTTGGTGGAGGGATTGGACAAGCCCTGTAAATGTAACTTCCTTGTTAAAAATGTGCTGGAGCTACTGAAGCTGCCCTTGAGGTTCCTGCCCTGGATTCACCCACTTAGGCAGCCTGCAGGATGGTATGGCAGTGATATGGGTTGGAGGCAGCCTGGCTAGGGCTGGTCCAGGTCAGTCAGAGCAGCTGGAGGAATGAATGTATCAGTGACTGGGGCAGGGACTCAGCAGGGAGGTAGGAGCAAGAGTAGGGAACAATGCTAGGGGAGGGGTGGGTTGGGGAAGAGGGAGCCACACTCAACTTAAGGGTCAGATGCTAACCACTGAGGAGGAGAGACAATCCTCCCACAATCCTGCCCACCTGCCTCAGTCTTAAAAAAGAGTTTTGAGAGGTTCCAAGGGCACTTTTAATCCCACCGGTGCCAAGCTCACTGACCTTGAATCCCCTAGGTGGCCGCTCTCCCCAGTGTGAGGACACACACACACACACACACACACACACACTTTCTGCCATCTCCCACCCTGTGCCCACTCCTGGACCTAGGCTAGGAAAATGACCCACTAAAGTCTCTGTGTTATTGACATCTGGGGTTTTTTCCCCCTTTTCAGGACAAAGTGGGAAGGAAGAATCTGGAGCACCACCCCAACCCCCAGCTTCTGTCCCACTGTGGATAATTCCTCAATCATAACCACCTCAGTTTCTGTCGGTAAAGTGGTAGAAGGAGCTCTGCCTTCTTGGAGAGATGTAGGGAGGGGCATATCCATCCCTGGGCATAGAAGCAGGGATAGGGCAGAGAAATTCACAGCCCATTAAGCCTTTGGGGGAGGTTGACCTATTCTGAGTCAAAGCGTAAATGGGAAAGGAGGTGGCACTAACACCATTTAGCTGCACAGCAGGTTAGGGACTTAAATCCAGGTCCAAATAGCTGGGAGGGAAGCCAAGTATAGTGGTACAGGCCTGTAATCCCAGCACTTGGAATGGTAGGGGCAAGAGAATCAGGAGTTCAAGGTCATCTTCAGCTATGTATAAAGTTCAAGGCCAGCCTGGGCCACAGAAGACCATGTCTCAAAAAAAAAAAAAAAAAAAAAGCTCAAAAACAAAACAAACAAAATCCCTAAATAGCCATTAAGAACCTCAGTGAAATGGCACTAGAGAATGCTAGAGGCTTTAAGGCCTCCAAGGCCCAGAAGCACTGGGGACTGGATTACTGAGCAGCCCTCCCCCTACTCCCTGGGTTAAGTAGCTCCACATTGAGCCTGTTTATGTACTGGCTTCCTGCCTCCTTCCCAGTTGAACAACAT